GATTTACCTTGATTCCCTACTGGCCCCCCTACGGAAATCCTTTCCCAAGATAAGATGTGTGCATTACATGGACGACCTTTTGCTCAGCGGCAGGGACCCAGACATGTTAAATAATATGCTCGGCCAGTTGGTCGAGGCCCTGAGACAAGCCAATCTGCATGTTGCCCCCGACAAGATTCAGGGAGGAGAAATGGTGACCTACTTAGGCGCGAGAATCTCCCCTATGCTAGTCTCTCCGCAGAAGGTCACCATTAGGACGGATGGCGTTAGGACCCTAAATGACATGCAAAAACTATTGGGAGACATTAATTGGATTAGGCCATATTTACATATACCAAATTCAGATCTCAAACCCCTGTTCGACCTTCTGAAGAGAGACCCAGATATAGCCTCCCACAGGAGGCTCACTCCTGAGGCAAGAGCTGCCTTACAGAGAGTGAAAAAAGCCTTAGGTGGGGCTACCTTACACAAAATTGAACCAGGGCGACCCTTTGATGTCTGTTTGCTACAGACTAGTCTACAGCCCACAGCAGTGATTTGGCAGAAAAGACCATTACTGTGGATACACCCTAAGGTCTCACCTGCAAAAGTCATAGAGCATTACCCGGAGGCAGTCGCTTCATTGGCCCTTGAAGCGCATGATAGAGCTGTCCAACATTTTGGCTCAGGACCACAAGCCATCCGAGTACCCTATACCGCCAGCCAGATCAAGACCCTGGCTGCCTGCATAGATACATGGGCCATTCTGAGATGTGTTTTCCATGGGGATATAAACAATCAATACCCTAAAGACCCTATCTTGTCATTTGTCACTCAGCACCCTATAATTTTTCCAAAGGTTACTGCCTCTGAGCCATTAGTCCCAGCAACTACAATATACACAGATGGCTCCAAGACGGGGATAGGCGCCTATGTGATCCTAGGCAAGCCCCCGGTTACCATACAATTTGAACCTGATCAGCCTCAGGTGGTGGAACTGCAGATCGTTAAAATGATTCTTGAACGGTTCTCAGAAGCCATTAATATTGTCTCCGATTCTAGGTATGTGGTCAATGCTATGCAAGTGCTTGAGACTGCCGGTTTAATTAGATCCACTTCCACAGTGGCTGGGCTGTTCCTGTCTATCCAGACATTGCTTCAAAACAGACACCATAAGGTCTTCACCACCCACATAAGAGCACATACATCCCTGCCAGGGCCTATGGCACAGGGGAATGTGGCTGCTGATACTGCCACTCGCCCGTTATGGATTTTTACCTTACTAACACCAATCGAGCGAGCCCGTGCCTTCCATGATAAGTTTCATGTCAATGCCAGGACACTAGCAAACCATTTCCATGTTTCCAGAGCAGATGCACGAGATATCGTGCAACTATGTGACTCCTGTGCCACATACAAACCCGCCATACCGATGGGAGTAAACCCTCGAGGTTTGATCCCTGGTGATGTTTGGCAGATGGACATCACACATATACAGGAGTTTGGGACTCTTAAATATGTTCATGTTTCCACAGACACCTGTTCTCACGTCATATTTACAACAGCAGAAACAGGTGAAAAAGTGTCTAATGTGATCAATCATTGCCTGGCGGCTTGGGCCGCATGGGGCAAACCAAAAATATTAAAAACTGATAATGGACCAGCCTATATAGGCAAAGCCTTCAATGAGTTCTACAAAATGATGGAGGTTCAATTAAAACATGGTATCCCATACAATCCCCAAGGTCAAAGAATCATTGAGAGGGCTCATAAAAGCCTCAAAGAAATTTTACAAAAACAAAAAGGGGGAGTAGGCCAAGGCCTGGCCCCAAAGGCACGATTATCCATGGCACTATTCACACACAATTTTTTAAATTTAAATAATGATAATTGCTCCCCAGCCGTGGAGCACTGCAACCCTTCCCCCAACCATAAAGGGTGGGTGAAGTGGAAAGATGTCCTGACAGGACAATGGATGGGCCCGGATCCAGTGGTCAGCTGGAACCGAGGCGCGGTTTGTGTTTTCCCACAGGAATCGGGACTGTGGGTACCGGAGAGACTGACACGGGCGACAAAGCCCTCGACTGAAGATCAGACCTGCCCTACCGGAGATCCATCACAGACCAACCAACAAGATGAATAAAAATAGCGGTAGCCCGAAATGGACAAGAAGATCCTCAGGCATATGCATGGCTCGCTCGCCTAGCCTATGACCGAGTCTAGGGGTGGTGAGCTTCCCACACTCCTCCTCTAAAAAATTATGACATAGCTGGGTAGGAGAGTCAATGACGTGTAAGAGCGTACTCCCCCGGTGCGACTCAACCTAAGCCAGGCCCTACCCCATCCTGCACGTAAGCCGCTGGACTGTTAGATGCTGCCCAGGTCTAAATTTCTCTCCGAGGGGATTTCTTTACGGAGAGGAAATGAATACAAGCTTGTGTGCATCCAGGTTCCGTCCAGTTTGTGCCTGGCCCTAGAAAAAGGACGAGGGCCTCAGGGCCTTGGCAGACCATGGGACGGCCGACCAGGGTCTAAGCCAAGGACCTACGGTGGGCCTACGCATAGGGCATAAGCCTCTGCACCCAGTCCAGAAAGGGCTACGATGCGCACATTCATAAAAAATAAAAAAGGGGGAGATGTTGGGAGCCGCAGCCCCGAGCCCGGTCGCCTCACTTGGCGGACGTGAGGCCTGTAGTAAAGAGTAAAGCCTGAGGTAGATTACCCCTCCCATCGAGCACGTTAGTTTCCTGCTTACCGCGTAAGCAACCCGCTCAACAATATAGTCTGCCTGGCAACTGATGATGTTAGCCAATCAGCTTGCCTTGCTCACTTTAACATGATTGGACACTGTATCCGTATATATACTGGTGCCACCCCTGGGGGGGAAGGAGAAGCCCGGAAGTAGAAGCCCAGAAGGAGCCGCGGGGAGCGGACCAAAGGAGGCTTCGGCTGGGAGCGATCCCAGGGCAGGCTGTACGGAGAAGAAAAATAAAAGAAAAGGTTGTCCACTGCCAGACTTTGTCGTGTGTCCTTCCTGCCGGCCGGGAGCGACATCGACAAGAAGGTGGCTGAGAATTGTGCGTGTCTGAGGGACCTCCCATAGCACCCACCCCACACAGCTGCCATGACCAGGCCAGCATGCAGATGGGGTTTCCCCAGCTCAGATTCACGTGCTTGTGAGCACAGGCCATGGCGTTCTTAGGAGCTGTTCACCTTGATGTTGTGGCCACTGTCTGCATCTCACAGTGACGTGAGCCTGTTCTCTCCGTAGCTCCCTGGCTGGGCTGATGGCTGCGTAGGTAGGGGAAGGGCAGCATGTGTGCCTAGGTGGGCTGTGTGAGTGGCTGCCTGGGGGCTGGCTCCCCTGCACCCTGCAGGACCTGCCGCAGTGACACAGTCATGCATGAGCAGCAGGCTTGACCCCCTGGAGGCTAGCGCATGCAGGACACGGTGCAGAACAGGGCTGCAAAATCAAACACATGTTTAAGAGGAAGAGGGGCAGTTATTGAAAGAGGGGTTCAGGGCTGCTGTGCACAAAACAAAAGCTCATGATAAGGGTAAATTAAACCAGACTATGAAAACTAAGCAATTGGGAACCCAGCGCCCTCTGTTGATAATAGGTTTGTGGGTAAAAATGAAACTGGTTCATTTGAATGATAGTGGGTGCATTTCAGCAACATGTAATGACTAATCTTTTAAGCCTGAAGCCATTTCTGTCTCCCTGGGCTGATATTTCAAAGGTCTAAGATGTAAAGGACTTGAAAATCTGAAGCCATGGGGATAAAGTCTCAGATGCACTGTTGAAGCAGAGGCTTTTATTGCTTCCAAGCCTGCTGCTTTGCCCTACTTCCTGCTTGGTGGAGGGGGAGACAGCCACCGGTGAGTTCTGCAAGCTGAACAGCATAGGCAGCATCAGAGAGTCATGTTTTCAGCACGGTGGGTCACTCTGTTAGTGATTCTGGCATGTCTGGAATAATTTCTCCTTAATGAGGTTGTGTGTGTATGTGATACCAGGAATTGAACCCAGGTCTTTCCCACTGAGCTCCACCCCCAGCCCTGTTTACTTTGTATCTTGAGACCAGGTCTCAAATTGCTCAGTTGCTGGGCTGGGCAGGAATTTGGGAATCCCCTGCCTCAGGCTCCCAGGCTGCAGAGATTACTGGCATACTCTACCACAACCAGCTTGCCTACCCAAGTTTAGATCCAGAATTTGCAGTCAAGTGAACAGAGTTCAGCTCAGGGTTCTGTGGGTATGATTTGCCTAGAAATGCGCTGCTTGTGGGTCTGAGTCTCTGTGAACTTGGGGGCGCAGACATGTTTCGGGGTTCCTCGCTCCTGGAGGCTGTGGCTCCTAGACAGCACAGCCGGACTGTAGCCTTCTCCCAGAAGTGGACACAGCACAGACCAGCTCAGGGTGGGTGGGGACAGCAGCACTCTGGGGAGAGCAAGCTACGTCACCTGCATGGCCTGTGATATTGCAGGGCAGGAACAGCTGAGAAAAGAGTCTGGAGCCCCAGCGCAACTCTGTTTTATTTCATTCCCTCATTAGATTTAATTAGAAGTAAATATCCCACAAAGCAAGACCCATGGAGAGAAGAGAGTGTGAACAAACCAGCAGTCTGTTCTTAGAGACAGAGTGGCTTTTTCACACATTGAGAACCACCAGCTTTATAGGCAACTGCATGGTTTTGCAGAAATAATTGACAAATCTCTGAGTAAGAAACCTACTTGAAATGAACCAGAAATGGACATCACAGCAGCCAGCAGCGCTGGCTTCACTGAGAATTTGAGAGGAGGTTCACTGGGGTTTCTTTTTGCAAATGGGAAGGGAATTAAGAGGTGGCATAGGAGGACTGTGTTCTCCTGTGTGTGCCTCTCCCCGGAGGGGTGTGACCCTTAGGCTGCTAACACGTGCTAATAAAAGTAAAAGAAAAAGAAAGATTCAAGGAGCCGAATGCATTTTGAGGCTTTGTCTGCTTCCGAGGGGTACCATGCTCCTGTGAAGGCCTGGAAATGTGCAGATGAGGAGGCATGGCCCGGGCACGGTGGCACGGGACAGTGTGGGGTGCATCGAGTGGTAGGGACCCCAGCAGGCTTGGCAGTGGGCAAAGTTCTGGAGGTGAGACGGGCTGGACCAGAGTGTATGGCCCAGTGGACAGGTGGTCAGTACCCAAGAGTGTCACTTCGTTGGAAACATCTACCGAGTACTTCCTGCAAGGCCCTGTCGCCATGCTAACTCGAGTGGACCAGCGTCCCTACCCTTGTGGGACTCAGTCTATTACTCAGCCTTGTGTGGACATTCTGACTCTCAATGGCCAGTGAAGTATGATCACTGCTGCTTTATCACTAGAAATGAAAATGATCTTGTAATTTCCTTAACAGTTATGTGTGCCCGTGTGTATCCTCCATGTGTGTGTGCCTATGTGTGTGCCTGTGGTGTGCTCGTGTGCACGTGTGTGTGTGCCTGCGTGGGTGTGTGCAGAACTCCATCAGCTCATACTCTGATGAGCACCTGTGCCAGGTCTAGCTTGTGAGGAATGAAAAGTGGTGCTCATGGGCAGCACAAACCCTACACTGCCTGAGTGGGGTCCTGCGCTCTCTGCTTGCAGCTACGCGGCCCTGCTAGCCGACTGGCCGGTGGTAATCCCGGGCCTGTGAACGCTGTTCATCGTGGTCTGCGCCCTGGTGGGCGTGTTGGTGCCAGAGCTGCCAGACTTCTCGGATCCACTGCTGGTAAGGAGACCCGGCCTGCAGAGCAGATGTGTTCTCTTTAGCTGCCGCTGCCACCGTGGGCAGAGTATTGTGACGCAGGTCACAGTCTCTTGTTTAGTATTCTGTTTCTTTTGAAACCGCCTCCAGCCTTGGGTAAGAATGGGGCTCTTTTTGTAATATTGAGACGTGTGAATCTGTATTCTCAGCTTCTTAGGTGGTAAGGGGTATAAGAGTCTTTTATAAACAAATATTGCACTAACTAAAGAAAAAAGGTCAAGGAACCTACTCACCCTCAAAACTCTGGGTATTTTGCTTCTCTGTCCCCGTGGTTAAGCTAAAAAGCAATATATACTGCAGAACTCACATATCATATAAAAATATTTACATAAAGCTCCGAGACTGAATATGTTTTCCTCCCAAAAGGCGCTGCAGGAATTTCACTGTTGCTAACGGTGGTCTGTTTTTAAGTAAATGTCCCCTGGGTTGGAAGTGTGAGAAAAAATGGCCGAGAGTCGTGCTACCCTTTGTGAAACACTGTGACACTGCCTGTGTTTAGGAGATAAAAATAAGTACCCCCTGAATGCAGGGCAGCAGCTAGGAAAGTGACCATCTGGTAAGTGTTCTTCCTGCTCCAAGACCTGTACCTCACCTGTGTTGTCACAGTGAACAGGTGATCGTTATGTCACTGTGAGTGCACTCAGTCTGGAATGCAGTGTGCTGATGGGAACGTGTGACATTCTGCCTAGGGTTTTGAACTAAGAGGGACAACAATAGGCCAGAGACTGGTTACATGGAATAACATGGTCAAAAACACCAGATACAAAGCAATGCTGGCAAATTACCCTTTTAAATATGCTAATGAACAAGCCAAAAGGTAATGATGGTGTATTTTTATATAATCGATATAAATATTGCTTAATGAATTCTTCTTTAAATGCTGCATGAACACAAAAGGTAAATATAAAATATGCCACTGAAAGTCATTTGCCCCCAGGTTGCTTACCTTGGTGTTTTAAGGCTGTGCTGTAGGATGAAAGGGAGCGTCTTTTCTTTTCTGAAGTGAGGAGGCAGATGTTGGCTGCTTACACTGACCCTCCCAGGTTGCTGTCAGTCGCTGAACAGCTGGGGGCTCAGCGGCTGTACTGCCCCACACTTGTCGTCCTGAGGTAGCCAGAACTTTATTCAAGTCACATTGTTGCTCTGTTTCAGCCATCGGGATGATCGGTGGTCAGAGGACCATTATGAAAGAGAAAAAAGAGAAGTAGACTAGAACTTCCACAAAGACAGCTTTTTCTGTGACGTTCCAAGTGAGTAGTGTCCCGGGAGGGCCCTGCAGCTGCCTCCTGCGCCAGGGCAGAGCAGGGTCACATCTGGACTCGGGCAGATGCAGGGGTGTGGTAGCCTGCAGACTGACTGTTCCTCTAGGTTGGGCAACCACTGTCTGAATTTATCTACAATAAAAATTTTAAAGGTTAGACTTAGCTTGAAGGAAAATATGAATCTAATGAAATTCTTGATACTGCCCAAACTTTCAAGACATATTTCAAATTCTTTATCTTATTTATTTCTGGATCAAATAAAAGTATATGTTTTTGTACACATTTTTTGGGTTGAAACCTAAAAGAATCTCTGGCATTATTAAAAAAAAGTTTTGAAGTTTGGTTCACTTGAAAAACATGTAGTAAGGGCCAACGAACCACATGCCTCCTTCATCACTGAGCAAAAGAAGAGGAGAAAGGAGCAAGACCAAGGCCCGGGGCTGCGTGTGCGCCTCGGCGCCCGGCAGGGGCACAGTGGGCAGGGCAGGCAGGACCACAGCATGGTTACTGTGCAGCTGCTGGGCTGGGGAGAGGTGCCCAGCGGTGGCACAAGAACAGACCACTGCTCAGCCGCAGTGCTGAGCGGGGGAGCTAACACGAGTGCGTGGTAACGCGAAAGCCCTTCTGGTTTCAGGGTTTGTGGTTGCTGCTGAAGAACTCTTTTATGTTTTCTTTCCTACTAGAACCCAGCAGGACCTCAATGGATCTTTCATCTTTCGCGATCTTGCCAAGTCTCAAGGTCTGTCTTTGTTTTGAGCCCTGTTTCACTATGCAGTAATAGAAAGCAGATTCAGCGGGATCAGACGTGGACTCCAGAAAACAATCCAGCTTCCTTTTCTGCCTCTTAAAACATGGACAAACGGAACTGCGGGTAGCTGTAGTTGCGGCTGCTTTATTTGTCCCACTGGTAGCCTGTTCTTGCTTTGCCACCGTCTGTTGGCTGCTCTCTCATCCAGGAAGAAGCTTAGCAAGTTGGTGAAGTACAGCCTGGAGTGTGTCAGCAGTCAGCACCCACCCTTGCCCCAAGGTGACAGGTTCTTCTGTGACCCAGGCGGGGGTCAGTTCTCTGTGAAAGAGGCATTTGTTTCCAGCAGGCTGACCTGGCTCTCCAAATGGTCTGCCAAGGGTGGTAGTGATTTGGTGAAGATGAGCTCATTAAAGAAAATGTCATGATCGCGAGTGGAACATTTCATGATAAAACTTTGCTCATGATTTTACCAGCTTATTTGATTAGCACAGTATAGTAACATACAGTCACTTTGTTCCCACTGCTGAATATTACCTTTTTTAATGACTGAGACAGGAGCAGTCTTATCGAGCACCCATTTTCCATCGTGTCCTCTGATTCTCATGACTGGGAGAAACGGTTGTTGCTGTTAGCCTTTTACAGAGGAAGAAGCAGCTCGGCGAAGTTACAGTTGTGTTCAGTCACCAGATCCTGACAGTGTGGAGGAAATGACACAAGGCCTCTAAATGACCTGAGGGAATATTGTACCTCCCAACCTGCTAGACGTCTGACACACTGAGCTTGTGTCTTTGAAACTGAAGAATGAATTCTAAGCAACAGTGGAGGTTAAGAGTAGGAAATGTTTATCGAGGGGGAGAGACGCAGCCCCTGAGAGGCAGGAGGGACCCCGAGTGGGTTGGTGAGGGCCCCGGTTCTCAGGGAAAGCTTTACATAGCACAACCAATGGACACTAAGTGGGTACAGCTGTGATCAACCAATAAGATTATAAGTGGAGCTACCTATGTAACACTGATCCAGTGGTGGAACAAGTCACAGAGCACATAGCAGAGAAACAACAAAGACGTTTTTAGGAAGCAGTGAGTCTGGGCTGCTGTCACACACTGAAGTAACTGATGCCTATCTGGACTTTACTAGACCGAGTGTCATCGCTTACCACACGCCTGGTCTTTGTCCGGAGACCTGACCTCCCATGGATGTGCATTGGCCACAGTTGTGACGAGTCTTATCTTTGTGTTGACTCTCAAGAGTCCAGCCCTGGGGGCTGGGGATTTAGCTCAGCGGCAAAAGTGCCTGCCTTGGAAGCAGGCAGTCATGAGTTCAATCCCTGGTACCGATAAAAAGGAAAAAGACCAAAAAAAAAAAAAAAATAGTCCAGCCCTGTCTGACTGCCTAGAATGTTCCTACCTGATTGCTGACTCAGTAACAGGGCCTGGCTCGGCCACATCAGGGCCCAGACACCACGCTCTTCCTGGTGCTTCCCATGCCCCACCACCAAGTGCAACAGCCTGGGCTCCGGGGCATTGCCTTCAGGCTCTCTTGCACCAGGGGTGTAGACACAGAACACACTGTGCACCCATGATGCTGGCCGGGCCAGCACTCTGTGTGGCCAGACTCCAGCTTCACTGCTTTCATGTTGATCACGTCCCGTCTTCCCTCTTGGCCAGGGAGCGCATCCTGACCATCTGTTCTCAAGACACCATGCAGTGGTGGTGAACCCGGCCTGGAGGGTGGCAGCAGGCTGTTGGTATCACTGAAAGCTCTGGAAGGTTTGCCCTCACCGCCCTAATGTGTCACTCTTCGGTTTTGTACAACATAGTGGGACGTGTTGGGAAGTTTAAGAGGGAGGCATTTCAGTTCATCTCCTGTTGAAAATTGTTATGCATCTTTCTTCCTCCTTAACTTTGATCAGAGATGGAGTTGTGAGTGTGTAGTGTGGCTCATGGGTGTTCCCGGCGGACAGAGGCTTCGTGCTAAGGCGAGGCATAGTGTTGCTTCTGTGTAAAGTTTCTCCGGGAATTTATGAAAGGCAGAATTCCTACTGCTAATGAATTGCCATGTAGTCCTACTGCAATTGTTCTTGAGGTCTGTGTCTTCAGAATCAGTGACTGATAACTTTTTCTTTTCTTTTTTGTTATCACAAGTGAACGATATTTTACCTCGACAGGAGGGGAGACACTGTGGCATTTACCTGCCATTAAATTCATGTGCAGTGTAGATAACTCCAGGGTATGTAAAAAACCTGAAATCTTTAGACAGATCGGGTGATGTGCTTGGCCATCGCTTCCCAGCTGGCCTAGTGTCTGCCCAGGTGAGAGCCCTGGGGAGCTGAGGCCAGCCCTCTCGGGACAAACACCAGCATAGTGCACCCTGCGTTCCCAACTTCCTCTTCTGGGTCTCCTAGCTCAAGCTGCATCAGGCCTGTTATTTCCTGGCAGTTGGAGCAGACAGTGTCTGAGGCCCTGCCCTGGTCATGCACTGACACACTTGATTATTCTCCAGCTAAGCAGGACACAGCAGTGACAGGGCAGCAGAGACGTGTGGTGTTGAGGCGGCTCCAGGGGCTGCCTGGCCATCACGGAGGCCAGATGTTTCCCGTGGCTCCTGCTTGTGCGTGCCGCACTTGCAGTCAGGCTGCAGTGTACACTCGATGAGTGCTGCTCGCACTCAAGCTCAGAGGGCCCAGGGCTCTAGAGCAAGGAGGCTCACTCTGTCCCTGCCACGGGAGCCTCGGCGGATTTGCCAGGGCCTTCTCCTCACTTCCTTTGCCCTTGACATCTCTACCATACTGGCAAGCAGTCATGAGGAGCCAGAAGTGGGGTTCTGTAATCTCAGCTCCACCAGAAACCATTTTCCTGTGCCTGTCCTTGTCCTGGTAGAAGCTGGATCTCTGAGGAAAGGATTTGCGATCGGGGTCTGAGATCCTGGCTGACCAAGGTGACTTGGGTGGACAGCTCAGAGGAGCCCAGAAATGTGCTTTTGGACTCCTGTTCTAAGGGTGCCGTGGAGCCTGGCTCCTGTCTTCTCCCTGGACTCCCCTTAAACGTCTGCTATGCGGGGAGCTTCGCGCTGTGGGAAGGCTGCCAGCAGCAGCCGAACCTGGCATTAAGGGCTGAAGCTTTTTCTCCCTTAACTCTTTTCTCAGCTTCTTAGACTCTAACTTAGGCCATAGTTTTAAAAGTTAATGTATTGGGCTGGGGATTTAGCTCAGTAGCATAAGCGCCTGCCTTGCAAGCGCGTGGTTGTGAGTTTGATCCCTGGTACTGATTTAAAAAAAAAAAGAAAACCTACCTCTAAAAGTTAATGTATCACTTAAAACCTCGCTGGTTTTTCCCTGTTCTCTCCTCTCTTTCTTTAGCCCACTATTTCAGGGCCACTTCACCCTTACTGCTGTCTGACTAGGGAAGGGAACAAAGGCACATGGTGACCCCACACACACTAAATGATGGCCTGAAACACCCAGTGCGCAACACTAGTGCCAGAAGGAATAGATTCTCAAGAGGTGGCAAGAAATTACCTTCATAGTCTTCATTTTATAAACTTCAAAGGTTTTAAAGGTTTTAGTGAGTCTTTTCCGGAAATATGAAGAATGTGTAACTGCCTTCTATGTGAGGAGAAGCTGGCCTGCCTTTCTCTTTAAGTTCAAGTCACAACACAAGCATCCATTTCTCCATCTCAGCCACACACAGCTAAGCGCCACTGTCCAAGGTATCTCCCTGTAGTCTGGGCCAGACTGGAACTCGCAGCAGTCTTGTCTCGGCCTCCCGAGTGCTGGGATCAGCATTGCACTTTCTGACCTGTGCCCCACTCTTTGGGGGCAGTAAGGGCTCACACAGTACTGTGCTCACTGCGTCCATCACAGTTACTTATTTTTATCAGATTTGCCTGTCATCCATGAGCAGCTTGAGGGCGAGGGTCGCTGTGTCTCCTGCTTCTTGTGGAGGTGGGTGGTGGATGTTTCTCTTTGAGTGATGCGCAGAGGTGAGCGTAGAGCCTTCCTGCCGAAAAATGCAGACAATTCCTTGAGGCGTGTTCCTTCACACCGCACACGCTGGGTCCCGCTCAGGGTAGTCAGAGGCGCCTGTGGTGGCTTTTCTCTGTCCTAATGCCATACCCTGGAGCAGTCCTTGAAAGCCGTCTCTCCAGAGCCCCTGTGGATTATAGCAATGGCTCCATTACTGTTGACAGCGGCTGGCAGAGTGGCAGTGGGTCGGTATTCAGAGTGCCCAGCTTGTTAGTCTGTGGTCAGATACACACATTTAAAACCCCTGCTGTATTGGGAAAGGTCCGTCCAGGATTGCATCTGTGCTTTCTGTTTAACCAGCAACCGTGTTCCTTTGTTTGTGGCACTTCATGACTGCCACAGCCACAGAGAGATGCCTGCCAACCAAGCAGCTGAGCTTCCCGCGGCTGCAATTCATTTACTTCCGTCTGGACGGTATCAGGCCTCAGGCCGGCAACACCTTCCCTTCCATTCACCAGGCTGACCCAGGTGCTGGCACATGTGGCCATGGGTACGATTGGGTATCTGCCTGCAAACCAGAAAAGTGCCACTCCAGCTTCCCCTGATCTGTCGGGGTTCAGTCCTCGCTCAGGTAAGCATGACAAACTCACATGTCAGTTACCCTGTTTTGTGAATTATTTCTGCTTTAAGAAATATGCTTAGAGGGCTGGGGATTTAGCTCAGCGCCATGAACACCTGCCTTGCAAGAACGGGGTCATGAGTTCAATTTCCATTACCAAAAAAAAAAAAAAAAAAATATGCTTAGAAAGAAAGTCTGGGAAAGGAGTATTTTTTTAAGAAAACAAACGAATGCCCCATCTGCATGAATAAACACCTCTGCAACCTGTCCTGGCCCCACAGCCCTCTCTCCCACCCCTGAAGCATTTGGCTGGAGGGTTTGGGAGCACAAGTGATTTAGATTGAGCTGGCAGGCAGTTGGTTCGTGACACCTTCTCCACTTTGAAGAGACAGCACAAATTTCTGGCTGCACAGCCTGGCTCAGTCAGGGCTGACGGTGCCCGGTCCTCGAGTGACGGCCTGTCCTCTCCTTGCACTTCGACCTTTCTTCCTGGCCCAGCCCCAGTCAGCAGGGATGAGAGATGAGGGATGAGGGATGAGGGATGAGGGATGAGGGATGAGGGATGAGGGATGGGGCCTGGCACCTTCTGCTGTGTTGCTAAGAGGAGACTCTGGAGTGGGGAAGGTGGTCCTTGTCAGCTTGCGGGGGATGGGGGGGAATCAGATTTCATTCAGCAAGGACCAAAAGTGACGTTTTACTTTCCAGGCAAAAACAGCCCAGGAAGAGAAACCCTCTCCACTGAGGGTGTTCCCGTGGGGTGCGGTGCACACTGAGTCCCATTGCGCCGTCTCCTGGTTACCAGGGGGCTCCAAGAGGGGCTTTCAGCCAGCCTGAAAACTTTTCAAGAATTTAGAGAAATAATTAAGCACCTATTTATTGTTAATAATGTTATTTAAAATCAGATAATAATGTTTTAATTTAGAAATCTTTCCACTTTCTACCCAAATTTCAGGGGAAAAATTTAGTCTCAATCTTGGTGTGTCCTGATATTGGTGCTTTGGATAGTACTGGGGTCAGTGTGTGTCTAGGATTGAGCTGTAGTCACAGGGGTTTTTACCCAGCAAATGTATCGCTGTGAGTTTGGGTGCTGGCAGATCTGATATCAGGGCCTGCGGGGTGGGGTCTGTGGTGCTGTTTCCTCCAGAGGGGACCGCCTGTGTGTCCTTGCATGGTGAAAGGATAACAGGCCCCCTTTGGCTCCCTCAGAGGACATTCATCACTGCCCCAGGGGCTGGCCGCTCACTGACCTCACCCTGAGCTTAGGGTTTAACACGGGTTTCAGAAACAGAAAAAAGCCCTCAGCCATTTCTGGGAGCAGCACCTTTGTCTCCCACTGTGTTGGTGGAGATAATGTACCTGGGCCACTGAAAAGCTCATGCCGATAACAAAAGGGACTGGGACAGTTGCTTTCTTATTCCTGTGTGACATAGGCTTCACTGCCTGTCGCAAAGGCTTGAAAAGGCTTCTGTGCCACGCAGGGGTTAATGTTATCCTCCAAACTTGCACTGGCTGCCCCTGCTTCACACTTGTGTCTCACTCCACACACTGGTTTGTAGTTCAGACTGGAGTAACTTAGAGCCCTCACTGGGAAATGCTTCAAGGACTCTCACCTGTGTGCAGATGGATACTGGGTGTGAGATTGTCACTGTCCCTTGAAGCGGCGGGCACCGCCCCAGCCATGCAGCTTCTAACTGTGTCCTGCATGTCTTCTCTGCAGATCAGGTCTCACCCCCAGTTTGGTGACCTCTGCCAGAGAACCACTGTCGCCTCTTGCTGCCCCAGCTGGATGCTGGGGAACTACATTGCCATTCTGAACAATAGGTCGTCCTGTCAGAGCATCGTCGAGCAAGACGTGTCTCATACCTGAAGCTGCTCTGCACCTGTGCCAAGCACTACCAGAATGGCACTCTGGGGCCAGACTGCTGTGATGCTGCTGCCCGCAGGAAGGACCAGCTCAAGTGCACCAGTGTGCCACGCAAGTGCACTAAGTACAATGCCGTGTACCAGATCCTCCACTACCTGGTGGACAAGGACTTCAGGGCCCCGAAGATGGCTGACCACCCTGCCTCGGTGCTCAGGTACAGCATGTTCTTCTCGCCCACGGAGAAGGGGAAGAACATGATGAACGTTTACCTGGACAACTTTGAAAACTGGAACTCCTCAGACGGCGTGACAACCGTCACTGGGATCGAGTTCGGCATCAAACACAGCTTGTTTCAGGACTACCTTCTGATCAATACTGTGTATCTGGCCATTGCCATGGGGCTTGTCCTGCTGGTCATGTGTGTCTACACCAAGTCCATGTTTATCATGCTGATGACCATGTTTGCCATCATCAGCTCCTTGATAGTCTCCTATTTTGTCTACCGTGTCATGTTCAGCTTTGAGTTTTTCCCTTTCATGAACCTCACTGCACTTATCATTCTGGTCAGCATCGGGGCCGACGGTGCGTTCGTGCTCTGTGATGTGTGGGCCTACACCAAGTGCGATAAGCCCTGTGCTGCGGCTGCAGAGACGGTGAGCGCCACCCGGCAGCACGCTGCCCTCTTCATGTTTATCACCAGCTTCACCACCGCCGCGGCCTTGTACGCCAACTACGTCAGCAAGATCACAGCCATCAGGTGCTTAGGCGTATTCGCGGGCACCGCCTTCCTGGTGAACAGCATCCTCATGGTCACCTGGCTCCCGGCTGTGGTGGTACTGCATGAGCGCTACCTGCTCAACATCTTCTGCTGCTTCCGGAAGCCCCAGCAGCCCAGTACGACGACAAGAGCTGCTGGGCGGAGGCCTGCCGGATGTGCCACAGGCTGCTCCTGGCCATTTCTGAGGCCTCCCGGATTTTCTTTGAGAAAGCGCTGGCCTACAACCTCATTAAGTTCCCCTACCTGGGGCTCTTGTGGTTCCTTGCGCTGACGGTAGGTGGCGCCTACATCATGTGTGTGAACCCCAAGATGAAGCTGCCCTCCCTGGAGCTGTCTGAGTTCCAGGCTTTGCGAGCCTCACATCCCTTTGAGCACTAAGATGCCTAGTACAGGAAGCTGTTCATGTTCGAGCGGTGCGCCACGGTGAGGAGCTCCACATGCCCATCACCGTGGTCTGGGGCGTGTCCCCTGAGGACAATGGCAACCCGCTGAGCCCCAAGAGCAAGGGCAGACTGACGCTGGACAGCAGCTTCAACATCGCTAGCCCTGTGTCCCAGGCCTGGGTCCTGCACTTCTGCCAGAAGCTGAGGAACCAGATCTTCTTCCACCAGACGGATGAGCAGGACTTCACCAGCTGCTTCATCAAGACCTTCAAGCAGTGGATGGAGAACCAGGACTGCGACGAGCCGGCCCTGTACCCGTGCTGCAGTCACTGGAGCTTCCCCTACAAGCAGGAGGTCTTCAAGCTGTGCATCAAGAGGGCCATCATGGAGCTGAAGAGGAGCACTGGCTACCACCTGGACCACAGGACGCCAGGGCCGTGCTTCGACGTCAACGACACCACCCGGGCTGTGGTGCTAGAGTTCCCGAGCACTCACCTCTTCATGCTGGCCTATGAGAAAATGCACCAGTTCTACAGCGAGGTGGACTCGTGGATCTCCCGGGAGCTGCGCTCTGCACCTGAGGGCCTCGGCAATGGCTGGTTGGTGAGCAACCTCGAGTTCTACGACCTCTAGGACAGCCTCTCAGACAGCACACTTATAGCCATGGGGCTGTCAGTGGCAGTAGCCTTCAGCGTGATGCTGCTGACCACGCGGAATGCTGTCATCAGTCTGTACACCATCAACTCCATTGCAGGCACCATCTTTGTCACCGTGGGCTCCCTGGCCCTGCTGGGCTGGGAACTAAATGTCCTGGAGTCTATCACCATCTCTGTGGCCGTGGGGCTCTCTGTAGACTTCGCCATCCACTATGGAGCTGCGTACCGCCTGGCTCCAGACCCTGACCAAGAGGGCAAGGTGATCTTTTCTCTGAGTCACATGGGCTTGGCCATCGCCTTGGCCGCCCTGACCACCTTTGTGGCTGGGGCCATGATGATGCCATCCACTGTGCTGACCTACATGCAGTTGGGCACCTTCATGATGCTTGTCGTGTGCATCAGCTGGGTCTTCGCCACCTTCTTCTTCCAGTGTATGTGCCGGTGCCTCGGGGCACAGGGCTCCTGTGGGCAGATCCCTCTGCCTCAGAAGCTCCCGGGCCTGGTGACCAGGGCCCAAGCAAAGCCTGCCCCACACATGCATACCTTCTAGATCCCCAGGTCCAGAAATCGGAAGAGGAACGTGAGTTCTATGAGATGGAACCGCTGGCATCCCGCAGCTGTGCGGCCTCAGACAAGACCAGGCAAGAGGAGACCTACCTCTGTGCTGAGCTGCTGGGCAGCCCGGCGGGGGGTGGGGGGGTTGGGGGTGTCCCGGCACCCAGTCTGCTCTGGGGAGCATGGCCTGTGCTCCAGGGCTGACTCCAGGGCCGCCCTGCTCCCACCCTGCCCTGAGCCACACCCCACATGCCCCTTCTTCTTCCTCAACCAGCAGTGTCGCTGTCTGAACACCTACAAACTCCTCACTTGCAGCTCACACTCCTGCCAACTGCTCCTGTAGCCACTGTGCCCCTGCCCCAGGTGGCTTCGCTCAGATCCAGAATGGGGTGGTGCCTCCGCAGGCCACACACCCGGCCCCTGAGGGCTTCGTGCACCACCGTCCACACCCGCACCCCCACCCCTGTCCCTGTCTGCAGGGCTGTAGGAAGCCACCGGGAACACAGAACTCCTTGCCTAGGAACTGCAGCCTCCTCTGGGCTTGCAGGCCCCAGAGCACCCAGGCAAGACCAGCATAGGTGGCATACTGGGCTCCAACACCTGGGTGGCCAGGCAGTTGCCACTGGCCTGCAGGGCTACTAGCTCTTCAAGGCCAGCACACTGCGATGCTGAGAGTAACCAAATGGGTCTCCACTGAGACAGGGAAGTGGGACTCGGGGAGGGTGGTTCTGGGAGTGGAAGCAGAGTCTCCAATCTGTAGCATCAGAGTGACAGTATGGAGAGAAGAGCAGCGCAGAGCTTGTCGCATTCTGGCATGGTTCCAGGCTTGACGCATGTCAATCACAGCGAGCCAGAACTTCTGTTTAACCATCTCCTGGGGGAGACAGGTCACGGCCTGGCCCTGGCTGTCTGCAGAGCTGTGGCAGAGCTGTGAGAGAGAGGCTCAGCTCCAGGGACCACCAGCCACCATGCCCTGCCGCTGCCATGCGTGCTGGTGTGACATATTCAGAACCAGACGGGGAGAGCTTATTAATAAGAACACTCTAATAAACATGGATTTCAGCTAGAGCAGCGCGTGTTCTTCTAAGTGGGGGCAATCTCCAGGCACAGGGATGTGCCCCCTCCTACTGGCCCAGAGCAGGGCGCTCCCTTTCCACTTGCTGTGAGCCGCCTGTTGCGTGAGTGGAGTGGACAGTCACTGAGTGTTTCTGTTTAAGAAAGTCTAGAAGTTTACGTTTCGACTCCACCTCTTTTTCTGCCCTCCTGCAGCACGGATCCAGACTTAACATTGTAAGGCCCTAGAATTTCCACTTTCCACTTCTCTTGTTTCCTTGCTATCTTGGTTTTGGTTCAGTTGTGGTAACTGAGACGTGGTTTCCCAGCGTATGTGTTAGGAATCACCCTCGTGTTAACAGGGCCCTTCATCTGGGATGCAGGAGCAAACTGCGTCCACATTAACACTCCCGGGGTTTCGTGGTTTGGGCCGAGGCAGGCAGTGCACAGATGAACTGGCACACACCTTTACAGTGCTCTCACCTATTTGCATATGCAGACTCTGCCTGGAGCCAGAGGCGCGCACGTGGACCTAAATTGGGGTCCTTCCCGCATTTCCCAATTGTGTGGTCCTAGCCCAACTGGGTTTTCGTACGTCAGATGGCCACAAGGCTAGGCATTTTTTGGAACCCTGGAGGGATTTTTATATTCTAACACAGAAGGGACAGTCATGTCTGATACTCGGTACAGTGCAGGGCATGCATCTCCAGTTGTCTTGTGGCATTTCTGTTAACCGTGTAGGTAACACTTAGTTCTGCGCACTAATAAATGTAAATAAAATAAATGTATGGGGAAAGATAAATAGCGACCATCCATGGTTGAGTACAGATAGTCTTGTGCTTTTTGTGTTAGCAATTCCATAACTCCATGTTTTGAAAAAAGAAAAATCAGATGTCTCTCTCCTTCCCTTCACTGTGTAAACCTGACAGCGCACACCCAGGACCAGCTCCCCAAGCAGCCACGATGGCACAGCCTCCCTGAGTGCCCTTGCCTTGGCGAGAACAGAAAGCCAACGGCTCCATGCCAGCTGGGGTGCGCGGCCCTCTCTGGAGCTGCAGGGCTTGTGGGTGCAGTTCAGTTTGGGATAAGACATCCTGCAGTTGCCATCTGGCAAGCTGCTCCTCTAAACCTGTGTGATCCTCGATTGGTGTCGGCCTTGAGAGTCGCGATGTTTATGGAGTAGGAAGCAAAGTACACAGCTCAGCTCTTGGAGAACAGTGCTGTTGGGCACCTGTGCTCTTTGGGGGACTTTAGCCAACATCTGTAGCCATCAACACATGCACCCTTCACCAGACCCAGAAAAGGAGATCGGTTCTGGATTGGCTTTGTGACCATCACAATGAACAAGAGTTCAACTCTGTGTTCTCAAATCAACTGAGATAGACCTCGACATTCATCTTTTTTTTTTTTTTTTTGGTACCGGGGATCGAACTCACCACCTCGAGCTCACCAGGCAGGCGCTTATGCCACTGCGCCAAATCCCTGGTCTGACATTTATCTTTATAATTTCCTATTTTTCTCATGTAACTTTCTGTAATATTTTACTTTGCAATTCAGTAAGATTCAGAGGACAGGTTTTGAGGCAGAGTGGCAGCGTGTGTCCCAGCTTACCTGCAATGCCGTGTGATCCCAGGGTCCTGTCCTCAGTGGATGTTTCTAGTTAATAAACTGGACTTTAGCTTAAAAGGGAAAGAGAATTGCTAAATACAGGATTTCTTCTGCCCTTCATTTATGGGATGGAAGACCTCCTAAATAAACCAGTAATCTAATAAGGCTGTGAAGAGCCTGCTTTGCCAGCCTAAGGAAAGAAAACCCTCGCAGGCTGTGAGAACCGGGTCTCACTGGGTCTGTGACACACCATGGTCACTGCCAGCATCACAGTCCAGGTGGGCCCCACGGGTGAGGGGAAGAGCAGCTGCCCAGGGTCCGACCATGGCCTTGCCCAGCACACGCATCACTCTGGGTGCCGCTGCCCTGTGCTGGGTGCTCTGAGGAACAAGTGCGCCTCTTCCTGCGTACTTCTGAGGCCTGGTCCTATTCCCTATGGTTTCCTAACTGTGTGTGTCACTGATCACAGATCCAGATGGGAACAGACCAACATAAAAACCCTGAACCACAGCCAAATCCTTGCCGAGCCCACCTGGGGTTGCCTGGCTTTCCTGGCAAACACCCCCAGTGCCACCATCACAGGAGCAGAAGACGAGAGCCAGCGCCCAGACAGACCAGCCGTGCCTGCAGTCGGAGTGCTCGGAGGACCAGGCCAGGCACACGTCCTGCCTGGGACAACAGGGTGGCCGCTGCCAGCCACTGGGGTGGGGGAGGATCGTGTGTCCTGTATCACGTGCAATGCAACTTGCAGCTCCTTGGCCTGGGAGGGTCAGGGCTCGCACCAATCTGTCACCCTGTGTCACAGGTGTCTGCTGTTTCATCTCCCTCACTGGACCCACTCCTACAGGGGTCAGGGTGCGCTGGGGCAGCTCCCATGCTGATGTCCTGACAGCAGGGCCCCTGCACAGGGCCCAGAGACAGGAACCCCAGCCCCAGCACGGCCACGTCCACCCACCCCAGAGAAGTGGATTTGCCAGTGAGTGGCTTTGGTCTTTGAAGTGGGAGGTGAGGCAGGGCACCCGCACCTGTAGTGCCAACACCCTGGGAAGCCGAAGCAGGAGCATCGCTTGAACCTAGGAATTCAGGGCCAGATGAGGCAATAGTGAGGACCATCTCTGAAAATAAAAGTGGGAAATGGGAAAAATGTTACAAAAACATTCACCTGTCTCAAGCATTTTATCATCTCTGCTGTATGCAGCAGCAAGACCTCTAAAAAGGAGGGCTTCAGGGTTTTAGAACAAGAGAACCACGTGGAAGAGTGCGGCCAGTGCTTCCTAGCACCTCACACTGCTCTTCCGAGCCCACGGGCAGGAGCGAGGACTCTGTGAGGAGAGCAGGGAGAGCTCTCGGTCCAGGCAGGACACCCAGGAGCACATTTGACCCGAATGGTGCCCCAGAGCCGAGAGAAGCTCTGCCTGTCCTGACCACAGGAGGACGTCCCTGAGAAGAGCTGGGACCTGGAGCTAGAACTAGGGCAACTCCTGTCCCTGGTGCCAGGTGGCCACCCTAGGGGGCACACACACTCCTCCTTGTCTGTATGTCTTATCTGTCTGTCTGCCCTCCGGTGGCCTTGCCCTGTTCAGGTGGCCACAGCTTTTCCGAGCTGTTCCATGTGAGAGGCCTTGGCTCTGTGTCCCATCCCCAGCTCCAACAGCTGACCATGGCTCTGAGAGGCCCTGTCCTGCACAAGAGAGGACTGAGGCCAGGCCACCCTGGGCAGGCTCTGTCAAGGCAGCCTCAGAGAACAGAGCCACACAGGACACAGCTGGTTCCTCTGGGTGGAGCTGGGAGGCCACTCCAGAGGGCTACAGTCACAGGAACTCCAGCCTAATGGCCCCCAGGCCTGCGGCCTCTCAGGCTTCCCTGGGTGCCAGCCAGCCTGTGCTCACCTCAGAAAAGAGCCTCATCCTCCAACCGACCGCCAACACGGCCGCTCCAATGGAGAAGACCACAGCCTGCACGCCAGGTGCATCCCAGGCACGACGGCCTCCACGGGGAACGAGGACTGTGAGAAGAGCGTGGAGCACCTTCTCTCCTCAAAACTGTCTGTGATCTCTCTCCTGATAGTCCCTGGGACACCTGGCCACCAGCTGGGTTTGCCCCAGACTGCAGCTGAGTGACAGGTGGGGCCTTGAGCAGCTGCTCTTGCCTGTCATGCTCAGAATGCAGCAGAGTCCTGAGAACCCCAAGGCAGGAAGGCAGCTGGCAGGAAGCATACCAGGGCCCCTACCTTTCTGCCTGCCCTGCAGCTTGGGATGCTGCCTCCTGGCAGGAGGGAGGTGTGATGGGCTGTAACTGATGCCATGAGGCTCAAAGCCTCCACACCTCAGCTTGGGAGGGCAGGAGGGTGTCTGGAGCCCTTTCCAGCCTTCAGACACCTGGTCCCATGGCACGGAGTTCCAGAATTGCGCTGGGTGAGTTCTGAGGCAGACGAAACTGTGGTTAAGAAGTATGGAGAGCAGTCCCCTCTGGGTGGGGGAAGGGACCACACAGACCAAACAGCTGCTCAGGGTTCCCAGTCCCAAACCACAGAACCAGCCATGGGGGAGATGAGAAAAAACTGAGAGGCTTGTGCCCTGGAGAAGCCAGCAAACCATGGGGCGAACCCGAAACCGGAATGGGGAGCTTCACAAGCAGCACTGACCTCCTCACAGCGCCCAGGTCCAGATCCAGGTGTCGGCGACCCCCACAAGGGCCCCCGTGCCCCAGCCCTGGCTGCCCTTGGTGGTGGGCAGATCCCCAGCTTCCATCACCATGCAGCAACCCCTCCCCGCCTGGCCACCCAAGGCTGCCTCTCAAGAGGACACCAGTTGTGATGGTTGACCGACTGAGTCAGCTTGCGTTAAGTAATGCCCCGAAAACAGCTCAGGGAGGCTCTGGGCATGAAAAACCCACGGGCTCCTCACCACCTGCTCCAAAGGGAGGCAGGAAGCAAAGCTTGCTGCCGACTTCAGAGGAGGAACTCCAGTCTTCGTCTTCGCCTTGGCCAGCATCTCCTACCTTCATCTAGATCCCATGGCCTCATGACAGGGACTCCAGTAGGACCCTGCACAGAGGCCCTGGCCTCCGCCTGGGTCCCTCAGTCCCCAGCATGCAGACAGCACCTGTATGAGCTGGACATATGCCACTGTGCTTGTTTACTTGTGAAGAATTTCTAGAGGAGGAATGCTCTTGTCACTGGCAACCAGCTCTGGCAAGCAGGCCAGACAGCTTTTGTTCATGCTCAGGAGGGAGGTATGATGGGCTGTTTGAAGGTGACGTTAGTCAGCTTTCTGTCACTGTGACCAAACTTGCCTGAGAGAATAAGCTTACCCAGAGCAAGGGTGGTTTTGGTCCAGGGTCTGGGTCTGCGGTCCT